GGCCCGGGGGGCGGGCCTGTGCGGCCACCCCTGCCGCTCAGCGGCTGTCCGGGCCGCTGCTCCTCGTGGAAAGGTGCCGTGGACTTGCCTCCTGGCATCTGCATGTGCCAGGCTTACGGTTGGTCAGGGGGGTCTGGGTAAAGCCGGGGGGGCGCTGCCCCCACTGTTTATGCATCAGCACTGTGTGGTGGGGAGCAGGGCTGCAGGGAGGGAGGGGATGTAGTTTGTATCCCCACGTCTGTTTGCTCTGCCTTGCTGAGTAATTTTGGGCAAGGACATACACGGTGCCTAGACATGGCCGAGTGCGGGGGCAGTGCCCCCGGCATGAACTGGGCGCGTGTCCGCTCTGAGGCACCCAGTCCAGCCCCCCGATCTGCAGGGCCAGCTGGTCCCAGTGGCACCTCTCTTCCCACGGCTCTGCCACGCGAGGTCCAGGCAGATCCTTGGCCTCTAGACCCCAGTGCAGCCGTGAATTGGTGTGGGGAGGGAAGGAGCCAGGCGTTAGGTTTTTGGGGTGAAGCGCAGGGCTCCTAGGGGTGGGCCATGTGGCGTCTGTCTTCAGAGCCCCCAACTGATCCCTGTGGCCTGTACATGAAGCTTCCTCGTGGAGCCTCAGGAAGTGGCTAGGGAAAGGGGGGGGGCCCCTGGCTCCCCCGCCAGCCAGTTGCTCTCACGTGGCCCTGACCCCGCCTCTTGCCCCCAGTTTGACGCCGAGTTCCGCCGCTTTGCCATGAAGCGCTCCAGCGCGGGCGGCTTCCAGGAGTTCTACCGGCTGATCCAGACAGTCCATCAGATCCCTTGCGTGGACGTGCTGCTGGGGTACACGGACGTTCACGGGGACTTGCTGCCCATCAACAACGACGACAACTACCACAAGGCCCTCTCCTCGGCCAACCCGCTGCTCCGCATCATCATCCAGAAGAGGGGTAAGTCCGGGCCGCCGAGGCCTCGGGTTCCTTGCCTGGCTGCGAGCTTCCGTCGAGTGGCAAAGGAAATGGGTTCACTTGCTCTGCCAGAGCACTCGATAGCAGCCCCGCTGCTGCCTGTTTGGTGAGAACTTTGCTGTGTATCCGTGCCCGGGCATTTCAGCGGAATGCTGCCGCCTCCGGCCCACCACCCGTGTTGGGATCTCTTGCTGCATGGGAAATCCCAGCCAGCTGGCCCTGTGTTCCACAGGTGAATCGTATCCTACTGGCTCTGATGGGAGCTGTTAGCTGGGACCGTTCCTTTGCTTGGATGGCTGGGCTTTTCCCTTGTCTTACATATAGGAGGGCCAGCCTAGAGTGGACCTCTTAAAAAAAATTAAGAGGGAGAATTTTCTGGATGCTCCACAACTCGGTTTATTCCTTGCGCCTGCCACTGCATTGCTGAAAGCCTGGCTCTGTGGGAAAGTTTGTGTAGGCCCCACTAAAATGTCAGTTTGTAGCCCTGTCCCCAGTGACGGCAGTAACTGTGTTCTATAAGCAGTGTTCTCGCTAATCTGTTCCATCCACTTTTTTTCATCCATGTGCAGAATAAATTTTATGTGCACTGAAGCATGTGTGGCTGTGCACCACCAGTAGAAACAAAAAAAGGGAGCTGTGCTAATCAGCTGGACAGCGTTTGAATTTCTCCAGAGCGAACGCACAAGTGCCCACTTTACAGGGAACACTGCCTGTAGGGAGTGTTTCAGGAACTACCCTGACCTCTGAGGCTGGGCTGTGAACCGGCCGCTTTGGCTCACGGGTTCTGCAAGCCAAAGTCGCTTACCCAGAGAGCACCCGTAATACCGGAGAGTTAAAATCCTGCAGCCTTAACACTCTGCTGTCCTGCATGGGGAATTCAATCCCAGAACACGTTGTTCCTGGAAAGCAGCTGGTCTCTTCCACAGGGACTAACTCGTCTCTCCCCCCTCACCGTTCTTGTTGTGATGTGATGGGCGGCAGTAGCAGTGCTCCGCCCCAGAGATGGGCACATGTTCCCCACGTAGGAACGGTCCATTTGTTTGTTCATTCGCAGGTCATAAGAGCAAAACTTGAAATATACACGCAAACCTATGGGGAACCTGCTGCCTGCCCAGAACGTCTCTCCTCTGCAAGGGTCTTGGAGTGTTTCCAGTGGTCTCCTGCTAGCAGGCACTGGGGAGGCTGGGGTCGGTGCTGGAATGCGGCTTCCTCTGGGGTGGAGCAAGCGCAGCTTACTGGTACAAAGCAGCGGAGGCGATCCTATCCAGTCGCCCCTGCCGGGAGGATTGTGATACTTAAGCGCCAGCTAGATTTAGTCCTTGACAAATGCCGTGATTCTAGCTACCGGGCTAGTGGGTCTTTACAGATCACGTGCAGCCGGCAGCACAGGGCTCTGTAGGGCTGCGTTGGTTGGAGTAGTGCTCTCCGCGAGCGATGCTTATGGAACGGCCAAACATCCTCCCCGCTTGTGCCTGCAGCGTGGGCCACTGGTGCTCTTGGTAAAAATGATGCCCCAAGCCAGCTGAAGGGCTGGTAATTTTCCCCTGCTGTCCCTTCCAGCCCCCTGAGAGTCCTAGACGGCTTGGAGTAGCCAGTCATCTGCCCCCATGCACAGACAAGAGGAGGAGGGGTCTCCAGGCAGCCCTGTGCTGTTACGGCGCTCAGATCTGAGTCCTCCTCAGAAGCCAGGTCCTAACCCCTTTGGGGAGCGCCCCTGGTGCACGCTCCGGGGGTGAGGGCTTACCACCAGCTACTGAGGGAGAGGAGAAGATAAGAGCTCAGGGCATGCACAAGACAGAGCCCATGTTTAATTCTTGGCCCTTCTCTAGCCCCTGCCTTCTGAGCCAGTCTGGCCCCCGGTGAGCTGAGGCCAGCCCAGTTTGGGGAAACTGAGGCACGGAGCAGGGCAGTGACCTGCTCCCAATTGCAGTCCCGGCACTGGAGGCGCTAACGCAGCCCCCCGTTCCCCAGGGCAGGCACAGCTGGGCCCAGGCTCCCCCGCCACCTGCGATCACCCGCGGAGAGCGGGCGGGCGCGTCACGGCCGTGTGTGAACAGACCTAAACCCGGTGTCAGGTGCCCGCTGCCTGGAGAACGGGCTTGGGGGCAGGCTGGCGGCTTCTGTGGGGCTCCGCTAGGCAGGGTGCCTTCAAGCCAGGCTCACCAGGCTGCCACCCCCCTCCCTCTCCTCAGCCGGCGCTCTCTCTTGAGCTGAGCCTGGGCAGGCTGAGTCATGGGCTCTAGGAAAGCCCTGAAAGTGAAGGCGTGGGAGCCTCTGCCCGCCCCCCTGCATGGGCTGCCTGCTCCGAGCAGCAGAGATAAGAGGGGCGGGGGATTCTGGCCCCCCTCCCTCCAGGGGAGGGAGAGGTGTCTGGCAGCTGCCGATGGGGGATTCTAGCAGCATCCGGTTCCTCTCCAGGCTCAGCGGGAGCTGACGCTGGCCCAGATCCGGGCAGCATCCACCCCCCCCCTTTAGAGATTCCCATCTAAGTCCTGGCAGGGGTGGGGCTGAGGTGTGTCACTAGCCCCGAAGTGACCGCGTCCTGGCAGTGGGTGATGGGGCCTGCCCCACCTAAGCAGGGGCCTCTGGTGCAAGGTTGGCACCGGGGCGCCTGGTCCTGGGAGTGCCAGGAAAGACCGGAAGTGCTGTTGGGTCTGGAGCGTGGGATGGACGTGCAGGGCACCCCGGCTGCACCCCTCGCTGGGGACACGCTGTGAAAAACGGCAGCTAGACACCCCCCCTCCGGCCCTGGGCTCCTGCTGCTGGGCTTGGGGGGCGGGGGGGCTGTGTCAGACCAGAGCACGTTCCCTGAGCAGCATGAGACTTAAAACTGCCTTGGAGGTCCGCGACACGGCCCTTAAATCGCAGCCGCCTGCCTGCCCAAGCGTCCCCTGTGGCCTCGGGGGTGCAGGACTCCCCTGTCCGCACTGCCGCGAAGCAGCAGTCGTGTCCCACCCCAGAGCGGGCTGCCTTTCAGGGGTGGGCGAGCTGGCTCCGGAGATCGAACTGGGATCTGCAGGCTGAGACGAGATGGAACCAGGCCTGCTTGATCCGTGGTCTCCCCCAGCTGGGGTCGGGTGGAGGCGAAGCCTGGGGTGAGCCCAGGCCGGAAATGGGCAGCGACTGTTGGGAATTAGGGCCGTGATGAAGGCCTGGAGGGCGCAGCCGTGGGAAAGGGAAGCTGCTGTGTGAGGGGGAAGGGGTTTCCTTCTGAGGCAGCGCTCCCCCCACCCCGTTCTGCTCCATTCATGGGGGTGGGGTGGGGAGGGATGCAAGGCTTCGCCCTGCCCTGCCAGCCTCGGACTCTGTCTCTGAGGCCTGCTTGGCCCTTGGCAGCCGGGTGGTGGGGTAGGCCCTGGCGATCTCGGTGGTGAGAGCCCTGCCCAGGTTCCCATCTGCTCAGTGGGCCCCGGAGGTGTCGCTGGGGGACCTCTGGCCATCTGAGGCACTGCCCCCTCGCTCCGGGAGGTGTAGCGCCTGCCCTCAGCGCCTGCCTGTGTCACTCCAGGCGTGGGGCGGAGCGACTCTGCTTCTGCCCCATCTGTGCTCTTAGTTCCCCCAGAGGCATGTGGGGTGGTCCCTGCGGTGGAGAGGAACCCAGTGCCTGCTCTCCTGGCTTCCTGTCGGGCTGGAAGGGACATGCGCCGAGGCAGCGCCCCGTGAGCCTAGCCCAACCCGGCTTGACAGGGCTCTGCCCAGCCTGCTCTTCAAAACCTCCCGCGAGGGAGATTCCACAGCCTCCCTGGGCAATTTGTCCCCGTGCTTCAGCACCCTGACAGGCAACGCCTCCTAATCTCCAACCCTTTGCTGCTTGTCCTGTCCCCAGCGAGTCCCCGTTCTGGGTCTGTGCGCGGGATTTGTCCCCCTGCCTACGTGTAACACGCGGCACGTGTGTCTCTTGAATTGCGTTTTGCTGCTTTCAGACCAATTCTCCCATTTGTCCTGAATTTTTGTAGCCCTGTCCTCTAAAGTGCCTGCCCACTTCCCATCCACACGTTTCGTAGGCCCCTCTGTTATCCGATGTAAGGAAAACACTAATTAACACGGCACTTGGGACAGACTCCCCCGGTTGGCCCCACTAAATACGCCCTCCCAGTTTGATGCGAACCTTTGATAGCGACTCTTTGAGTGTGGTTTGTTTTTTAACCAGGTTTGCCCCCACTTGAGTAATTTCACCCAGTTTGCTGGGGCAGTGCTAAAAGCCTCATTTTAACAGATCACCTCTGTCCCTCCCCCCCCCCCCCCCCCCTTCCCCCTGCTCTCCTTCCCCACTTCCCCCTTTGGGAGAGTCAAAAGCCACCCAGCTGGTTAGCCGAGTGCCCACAGGTAGGTTCTTGTTTCTACTGGTGGTGCACGTTTGTGGGTGCACATAGAAAAAATTATTCCACATGTGGATGGAAAAATTCCCCCCGTGGAAGGGAAAGATTAGAGGGAACTTTGACAGAGTTGCTGCCCAAAGACAGAAGTGAGCTTGGTTTGGCTTGGCTTGTTCTGGACAAATCCATGCCTGCTGTTCCTTGGAACCCTCAGTGCCTATAAACCCACTGACAGTTTGTTCCAATAGAGGTTGGACCCCCTGGTCCGGCACCCGTGGGACCTGACCTGTCCCGAATGAGGGACTTTGCTAGATCGGGGTGGTCCCTGCCCGCTGCCTCTCCCTGGAACAGGGCTCACCAGTCCCCCTGCTGCCCCGCCCGGCCAGTGGTCCCTGGCATGTGGCCCCAGCCACAGCTGATGGAGTCCAGGCAGGGATCTCTTGGCTGACTCGCACTCTCCAGCGCTGGTGCTTTCTGACCACGGGTGTTGCCGGACCAGCGAGTCCCGGATTTAGGAGGTTTAACCTGTATCGCCGCCGGTACCAAAACGAGCCTGGTTTGTCTGTAATCCCCCGGGGCCTCTTTGTTCCCCTTTTAAAGAGGGCTCTGGCAGCTTCCTGGGAAGGGCAGGATTGCTATCGCCACCTCACAGCTGGGAAACTGAGG